TGTTTGTTATTTTAATAGAGAAGTGGTTTTTAGATTGATTGTAGAAAAAAGTACAAGAATATTTATGAAATTATTTAAATATATTTAATAAATTACTTATGTATATTGATTTATTAATAATATTTAAATACTTTTTAGACATTTTTACACTTTTTTACACTAATTGACCTGAAAATCTGCATCTGATTATTCTAACTTAACTTTGAGAATTTGTTTGTGCATTATTATTATTTTTTTTTATTAACCTCTTAATATCCAAAAGTTGCATTAGACTTTGAGTAATCCAGAGTGGAGTTAAGTCAAACCTCATATGGAAAAAGCTCTCTTAACGTATGTTTTTTCATTTATAAAACTAGAATTTCAAATCTTATTTAAGAAAAACTGAGTTTTATTCACTCAAACTAAGAAGTCGTTGGTGTTTATGCCTGTGCTTAATGAAATCTCTACCGAATACCAAAAAAAAAAAAAAAACACCCTATTAGTCTTTTAGATATTTTCCTTAGAAGATTTTTTGTACTACCTTTTCCTCGTAAGATAATGCTCCTTTGTCAGCTAAATTGCCAAAAGAAGAAAGCACAGGCATGATGTGCTCGTGGTATAAGACAAGATAGCAAAACTTCCACTATGGGATGAGAATCTTTTCCTCACCCAAATTATTGGTTCTCCTAATATCATAATTACTTCCATGACCATTTACACAAGAAATTAATAAAAGAAAAACCCAAATTTTTTAATCATGCATCATCACCTAATGAAAGAAAAGGACCAAACACTGGCCAAAAACAAACAATTCCAAAGTCTACAATTTCTCAATCCTCTCTTATCTCTACCTACAATGGAGAGGAAGAAAAAGAAATTAGTAACTCAACTAAAGTAAAATGGAAGAAGAGAAAAGGGAAGAACACAAAAAATTCTGCCAATCTTTGGTTCCTGGATTCAATCATTCTGAGACAGGAAATCCTCTAAGCATTTTTCAATTACCCATTTCTTAATTATTTCTCCAGTCCATCTGAAACCATTTCCTGGTATCTGCACTCCTGGCTGCAGAATGCTTTCTCTCCTCTGCATTGAACGGTAAAAAAAATTATTTATAAAAATTTAATCGAGTTAGTAACTATTATATTAAAATTTTTTAAATTCAGGATCGATATTTTAATTCTCTGCAATGTTAAAGAGCTAATGTCGATATACCAAAAAGTGAAAGATTCAGGCTAAAGAATGGATTTTGAGATTGAATTGAGAAGAAGGAAGTTGAAATGAAGCAAAACCTGTAAATGTAAATATCATTTTTGTGCTCAAGACTCCTCTTGCACGTATAACAAGAACTGAGGAAGCTCTCCGGTGGAAGAAGCATTGACGTTGCCGGAGGAACAACATGGTAGCTGTCTACAATGCAGTTGTCGAATATGTGGGTGGTTTTTGGATTAGGCCCGTGTAATATCACGCATGTATAATCTTCCGAGAGCTCCATCTCGCTCACTGGAACACTTCCGGTTAAAGTCCGGGGAGAATATTTTGTTGGGGTACCGGAGTTCGGATGGGACTGTGAATCCCTGGTCTTGATTCCGAATTCCATCGGGGATTTCAGAGATTCCGTTGGGGACAACGGAGGAATTTGGACTCTGAGTTTGGCTCCAAACAGAACCATTTTCTTACTCTGCTCAGAAGAATAGTTTTCCTCAACCGGATTGTGAATCAGAGCAAGACCGACCCCGACCCCGACCCCGACCCCGACCCATTTTGGGTCTAAATTTTCCCCTGAATTCTGCTTGTTTTCCGAGAAAATTCTTGGAGATTTTGTGTGGTTCAAATCGAAACCAAAGGGGTTGCCAAAAGGAAAGAATGGTTTAGTGTCAAGAATTGTAGTGGGACTCATCATAACTTCAGTTTCAAAGAGACCCTTCGTGGTAAAAGCTCTGAACCTTGGAGAACCAAAGAAAGATTTAGTTTTTTTAGACGATAATTGAGGGCTGGGATCCGCCATGAAAGCTTGCTTGCTAGTCACTGCTCTAGACCTATTCCGCAGCATAACTCTGCTTCCAAAAAGAAACAGAGCAAGGAATCAGATCACCATGAAACAGAGCATGAGGAAGATGAAAATAATATGAACTCACCTGAAATGATGAATGTCAGACCACTATGGATTGCTGCTTGAGATTGTCAAGGAAATTAACCCACTTTCACACACAAACCCACGAAAAACCAAAACTTATATGCACAATCAGAGAAAATGAAGGGCCTCCTAAAAATCTCTGTAGCCTTCAATGCAGAACAAGGGAAAATCAAATTGAAAAAAAAAAAGAAAAAAAAAAGGAAAAAGAACACTTGATTTCTCAATTTATTTTGTCTTTTCTCCTGATTTCTTCTTCTTACAAGCTTCAACAAGAGCAAGAGGTGGGTGGGTGCGTACCAATCATAACAACTACATGCAACGCACATGGTGAAGGCTAGAAGCCAAGAGCAGCTCTGCCATTTTAACAGTGGCTATATATGCTTATGAAGCTTTTCAAGCTGAAATGGGTATAAACATCCTGATTTTCTCTATGAAGAGAAAACCATCACCACCATAGGCATGAATTAACTGAAACAAATTAAATCATCTTTCTTTCTCTCTCTCTCTCTCTCTCTCTCTCTCTTAGGCATTAACACAAACATAAAACTTCACTCTGTTAAGTGGGTTTTATAATTTTATTACATGACATGGATCTCTCACCCCGCCATATAATTCCTCTTTATTCTGTATTTTTCTTTTTGTCAAAGGGTGTCTCTTGATCAACAACTTTATTGGTTTAAATGAAAAAAATTTAATTTTTTTAAAATAAGATTTCGAGTTAAAATCTTGTAAACGAATAAACAAGTGCTTGGAGGGTTTTCTTTGATAAGATTTGACTCGATTTGATTTTAAATTAATTAAAATTTAATATGATTGTCAAATACCAAAAGATTAATAAAAAAAAACATATCTCTTAAATTTTCATACACCTTAAAATTAATCTTTTGTAAATAATTTTAAATACAAACTCCCCACGTTAATTTAGTAGATTCACGGAATTAATTTTTTGGGTGCTGGTCCATATATATAGGGGTTAAAAAACATATAATTCTACCTTTTTAAAGAGATAGGAAGGCGCTAAAAATAAAAGAAAAATTGGAAAAAATAATGGAATTGAAGGAGGTTGCCAAGTCTAAAGGCCATCATGTGTCAGGGGTCTTTGATTGAGATTTGGGATTTATAATTTGGGCTTTTTTAATTTTTGTTTGTTAAGAGTGCATTAATAGTAATATTTTAATAATTATTATAAAAAATA